TGAGACATGAAAAATGTTAGAGAAAAAATATGTGGCAAAAGAGAGAATAGAAACTATCATCAAGATTAAAAAACAAAATTAAAAGGGTGAAATTATAATTTCTAAATTTATCATATTTTCTTTAGTTGTGATACTGTGTTTATGGTATAACTTTAATAAAGTTATGAGTGAATTAAATTATAATTGGTTGAGTCACAAATTAATTAATTATTTATCTTTCTTTCTTTTAATTTTACTTTCTGAATATGGGGAATGAATAAAATTATGAAAAATGTTTCCATAATTTTTGTTAGATACATTATGCTATATGTTTTGGGAAGTAGCCATATGTCGACCGTATTAAAGAAAATGGATCTGCCCATGATTCTAACAAAATATTTTTGTTATATTTTTTATTGAAATAATTCAAATGAGAGGAGTAACATTTAAATATTCGTTAGAATTGGTATTAATTTTTTAGTTAAATATTTCATTACTTTCTAACATTAAATTTTTGACTTTCGAAATACTTAATATTTTTTTATTTGTTATCCTTTTATATGTAATACATCACATCATTTCTTTCCAATGATGTTTGATTTGACAATTTATTGTAAATAAAATAAAAATATTATAATTATTTATAACGATATAAAATAATATACATATATATATATATTATCAATACCAATTAAAAATAATAAATGGACTTAAAAGTATCTCAAGAAATAGATTATAAATCTATGTTAAATAAATTTTATTAAGTATAAATTAACATAAGATAAACATGTGGACATTTTTCTTACATAGATTTAAAATATTAATACTACGAAAAAAGTAAAAACTAGATGTAAACTTACAACTATTGTCAATTTTAATTATGTGAATTAAAAGGAGAAATAAATGAGTAGTATGCTAAACTATTATTCAATACTTCTTCAAAGGGAACACCATAATCGTTGTAACATATACTTTCAATGAATATGAAAATGAGTTAGTTACATTATGTTTTATCGAAAAATGAAAAAAAAAATGTGAAATTTTTAATCTTATAAACAGTATAAAAGTACAATTTTATCAAATATATATTATTATGAATAAATAAATAAATAATATTAAATAATATTTTATCTTATGTGATTATAGTTGTAGCCAAATAAATAAGATACTTTGATAACAACATAATTATATAAGATGTGTAAACAAATTAAACAATACATATAAATATGCCCTAATTTTCTTAACAAATAAAATATTATCTGTGAATATATTAAGAAACAAATAAAACAATATTAAGACAATGAGAAAAAAGAAGTCTGATTTTTTTATTTTAGAGAAATATGAATATCAACATCTAGAAACAAAAGTCTTTTATAATTACTACATTTTTTATTACTGGCGTTTAAATTCTCATAAATATTGACCCTATATTATCAATTTTGATTTTTAAAATAATTAGAAAAATAAAAAACTTTGTAATACATAATATATATTTTAATAATGATTTTGTAATAAATTTCACAGATGGCGAAGAGTATTATAATATAATAGAATTTTGATTTTTCTCCTCTCTAATATTTTAACAAATGATATGTTTCTCAATATTATCTCATTGTTTTTTTTTTTCATTGTTAAAGAATCAAGAAAAGATATTTATCATACCCCGACTTGCTTCATCTCTAACCTACCCCGACTTGCTTGGGACTAAAGACTATGATGTTGTTGTAAAGAATCAAGAAAAGATATTTATCATAAATTTTTAAAACTTTATGATTGATGCAAAAATTTGTATAATAAAAGCGTTTGAAATCATTGGATCAACCAAGCTGCTCAATAATTTGCAAACAACATATTATATAGTTCGTCTATCTTCAAAATAAATAACATTGAAAAGAAAATGTCGGAGCATGATAAAAATATTTTTGAATTTTTGAATGAAATTATCATATTTTGATAGAAATATTTACAATTTTATTGGGGTATTGTGCTCGAACATATGTGCAAGTACTCTAGAGTATATACTTTCATGTAATGTATGATGATTTCAAAAAATAATTTAGTCTTCATGTAATGTGTGATGATTTAAAAAAATAATTTAGCGTCTCGGGAGAAGTATATGTAATCTATATTTTGAAAGGTAACTTTTATTTGGAAATAAAACTCATTCTCACCCCGTGGGCGATGCCTCCATGGGGGAGGTGTCAATTTGTCTATATGAAGAGAGAATAATGTAGTAGTTTAAAAAAAAGATAATATCAGCAATTTTAGTGACATGGTTGATTATTTCACAGAGATATTCATTAATTGTTATTAGCAATACTTTATAAAGATCATAATCATAGAATTTGACTATATGTTTGGACAAAATATTTTGCATTGTTTCAATAAAGTAGACTTTTTGCCTAATGACTTAAGAAGAAATTGCCTATTGATGTATAGAACTCGAATGGGTATGAATGTTTTTATTATGAGAACGTCAAATCAAAAATAAAAGAAAATCAATCTTGAATCATCAAATATAAATAAAAAAAAAAAGAACTAATGCATTTATAATATACATTGTCTTTATTTAGTTATTTAGTGTCTTTTAAAAAAAAAAATTATGGAGTCATTTTTCATGTATTTTTGTCGGGGTTGTAATATGTTATTTTATTTTTTTTATATTAGTACATCGTTATGTTATATTTGGACAAAAAAAATACATTAGGAGCTAGCTCATTTGTTCTACATTTTATTTTATTCCTGCAATCATATGTTTAATAAATTAATTAATTTATTTTACTAAACTTAATCGGCAAGAAAAAACATTCGCGACCACGTGCGATGCACGTGCACTTTACTAGTACAAGTAAAAGTGTGGCTTTGATGCATAGTATAACGAATCGATATTAATAAACAAAGGTGGCTCACACAATCATTTGTGAGCAGAAAATTATACACAAATGACAAAACCATGCGCAATTCCCCATTACACTCACACGCAAAGTGGCAATACGAAGAGGTGTGGTGTAGATAACGTAATTACATAAAAGTCATCTTCATTAGTGCCAACTTGACTCCAAATTAAGTCTGGAAAATCCATTGCACTTCCACGATAAGTACGCATTTGAGTCAATTAATAAGTACTTATTTATATATTTTAATTCAGAATTTTAGGTAAACCAAATATTGAAGAATTAATCAAACTTCCTAAAATAATTTAACCTGATAAAACTAAACGGGGTTTCGTAAAACGAACTCCTTAAGCACATGGGCAGAAGGCAAATTAAATGCTTATTTAAGCATTAGTCCGTGGGGATCAAGACAAAAATACGATGACGTAAGTAATTACGCGCTAATCAGCAAATTAAAAGTTGCCTAATTAATTGTTGAAAAAATCATTTATAAAACTTGGGTTTGACTCGATTTTAATTGCATTTTTATGGCTAAATATGTAACTCGATTTGAATTAAATTGTGTAAAAAAAATTACCTCTGAAGTAGATACTCGTGGTATATTTATTTTCTCAAATTTGATTTTCTGTGAGTGAGAAATAAATGATTAAAGTAAACCATAAATAAGCATGCAAAACGATTGTTAAAGGGTCAAAAGTCCTTCCCACATTGGACTCTTAAGTGAGATTAACTATCTTCATTATAATAAGGAGAGTTGAAGAGGTTACAATAACAACAAAATTATGCACCAAGCGTCAGAGTTGACTTCGGCCACGCGCTTGGCTCGGCCCTGGGCCTGGGACTTGGGTCTTGATACTTGAAAATTGGACTGTAGGTTTGCCTTGGACAATTTGGGCCTGTATTGGTCTTGAGCCTTAGGCCTAGCCATTATATATATCATTTTGCTGTAAATTTATTTGCAATTGTGGCTCAAATTGAAATCCAAATCAAGTTGGATTTGGACTCGGGCTTTTGACATAGCCCGAGCGAGACATCTTCAGGTATATTGAACCTGGACGTTTGAATCAAACTGACTATTTCAAGTGGTGTGTTAACATCTGAAAAAGGAATTGGCCGTCTCTGCCCATTAGAATAGCCTTAAGTGGGTCGTTACTTGCCTTAAGTGACAGATGATTGTTTTCTTTCCCCTTCTGACTTGGAAGTCATATAAATAAGACATGGTATAGAGCTGTAGAGCACACAACTTATATCTACATTCTTGTTTTCTCATAGCCTCACGCATATACATATTGCTCAATTCTCGATTTCGTTCAAGTTCGTCGGAGCTCAGAAGTCTATGGTTCTACAGCCTTTGAGACGTCAGTCATTGTATCTTTGGAGACGAGACGTCTGAACCTGTCAGCACGTTACGGAGCATATTCGTCCAACCTGGCCTCGGCTTGTATTTCTTTTTTCTGCTTTATAGTTCAAATTGCACAACCTAAAAACATCATCTGCAGTAAATAGGTTTCCTTTGTAATCAAAACACATATTTTGTAACATTAATTACTTCCCCTGTTTCATGTTGCTCAAGCTAACAAAAGTCACGGCATCACAGTGTTTTGTGGCGCGGGCGCAGTTAATATGTATCTATTCACATTTGATATATATTATCTTTTTATTCTTCTTTTGCTGTGAAGCCCGACAAGCAACTATGTTCAATGTTTGACGTACCATGAACAATTTTGAATTTTATTTTATTGTTTTCACACATGAATTTCGCTGCGGCCTTCCGCCAATAAAATTATTACAAATATGTTGGTTTTTTCTATAGTTGAACATCTTATCTAGTATTTCATTTGGCCCGTTCATAGTCAGTTTATAGTTGGCACTTGGCAAGCAATTGAGTGATTACAGAAAATATCTATATATACTGATAACAATCGAGCATAGTACGCCAAAAAATTGCAAGAATTACCCACTAATGTGTAAATGTTTACCAACTTATGTTTTTGAACATGACGTTCCTTATTTAATTAGTGAGTGAATAATCTACAATCTTATTAGTTAATGAACAAAAACCATCATTTATCCAAAATAAAGACACCGCAATTCACTGCAGACGTGTGCTGATCTAACGGCTCATTCCTATCCCTCCTGGAAAAGAGAAAAATCACCCTCATGGCTAATCTTTTCACTACTAATTGCAGCCTCGAGTGAAATAGCCGTGATCCTGTCACAGGGAATAGGGATCCCGTCATCTTAAAGATAAAGCCACAGCAATTTATACTTAATGTTTGATTATGACATAATTGATCACACTGGCATTATATATTAACATACACACTTAGCCAATCTTCTTCGTTTTACACATTTCCATTTATGTTGAAGACTCCCTTTTCCATCATCAAAACCAAAACAACATAGCTACGTACGATGCCTAAAGTAATCTCCAATCACTCCATAACCCTACCACTTCTCTTCTTCCTCCTTTTCTCCTTTCCTTTCATATTACCCTCCAAACAAACAACACTCCCCAACACAGACAAAACCACCAAAAAGGACATCAGCTGGTGGTGCCACACCGCGCCCCACCCAGGCCCTTGCAACCGCCTGATCACGGCCAAATCCGAGCCCTTATCCATCGACGAGTTCCGTTCCCTAACCATCCGGGCCGCCCTGGCCCGGGCCACCGAGGCCCGGGCCCATGCCGCTCGGCTCGGCTGCCGCAGCAAGAGCAGACGCAGAAAGCTCGTGTGCCGGGAATGCATCGGCCTCCTAGACGACACGATCGCCCAACTAACCGCCGCTTTGCGGAGGACCTCTGCGGGCCCCGACGCCCAGACGTGGCTTTGTTGGAAAAAATTGTGAATGAAATATGTAACGTAGTGTAGAGTTATTTCTTTAACAAATGTTTTAATTGCTTAACATTTTGATAACAACAATTGTATTGATTTCTTCAAACTCAACTGAAAACTTTAATTGTAAAAATTGAATGAAAGAAAATGAACGTATGTCATTATTCTCTCTTTGAGGTGCATGTATAAATATGTGGCCTTGGGTTGGTTTCAAGAGTGTGTGAAAAAACACAAGAGAAGAAAAACACAATATTGTTAAAGGCCTTTTCCCCTATTTTTAAGTGTTTTGGTCCAGGCATAATTCCAGTTCGCCGAATTTGTTTCGGTTTTTCCGTTGTATCCTGGGAAACAGACGCTCATACGGGGCGAATCTGTTTTAAGGACACTGTGTTCTCACAGGCCTCGGTATTTTTATTTTAGCCATCTTATTTTTATTTTCCCGATAAAGTTCCCTACAATCTTAAAACAGATTCGATTAAAGATGGCTGCTGAGCAAAATACTATTGGCGTTGCTAATACCGGTGGAGCTACTACAATTTCTATTTCTCCTTCTGTTAATGTTCCGGTAAATCATGCTGATAAACCGGAAAAATTTAACGGCTTGAATTTCAAGCGTTGGCAGCAAAAGATGTTGTTTTATCTCACTACGTTGAATCTTGCGAGGTTCTTGACGGAAAATCCTCCAAAGTTGGGGGAAAATCCGGATATTCAAGCTGTGAGTGCGCTTGATGCATGGAATCATTCAGATTTCTTGTGTAGAAATTATGTAATGAATTGCTTGGCCGATACGCTGTACAACGTGTACAGTTCTATCAAAACAGCGAAGGAGCTGTGGGAGTCTTTGGATAAAAAATACAAAACCGAAGACGCTGGAGCCAAGAAGTTTCTTGTAGGCCGGTTTCTGGACTACAAGATGGTTGACTCGAAGACTGTAATTAGTCAAGTGCAAGAGCTTCAAATAATCTTGCATGATATCCATTCCGAGGGAATGGTGGTGAATGAAACTTTCCAAGTGGCCGCCATAATTGCAAAGCTTCCACCGAGCTGGAAAGATTTCAAAAATTATTTATTACATAAGAAAAAAGAGATGACTGTTGAAGAGCTCGTTGTTAGACTTCGAATTGAAGAAGACAACAAGGGCTACGACAACAAACTGGTTAATCCTTCTTGGGCCAAGGCCAATGTTGTTGAGCATGGTGAAAGCTCACGTAAAAATAATAAGAAAAAATATGACAATACTGGCAAGGCAGTAATGGGGCCAAAGAAACAAATTTTCAAGAAAAAATTTTCTGGAAATTGTTATAATTGTAATAAATCTGGCCATAAGGCATCTGATTGCAGGTTGCCAAAGAAAAATCAAGAAGCCCACATGGTGGAAAACCTGGCCAAAGATGTTGATGAGATGCACCTCGCAGCAGTTATATCCGAGGTAAATCTGGTGGGCTCAAATCCACATGAATGGTGGATTGACACGGGTGCTACCCGTCATGTTTGCTCAAACAAGGAACTGTTTAATGTCCTTGACGAGACGGTGGATGGAGAAAAGCTCTTCATGGGAAATTCTGCCACTTCTGACATCAAAGGAGTGGGAAAAGTGGTACTGAAGATGACATCTGCAAAAGAATTGACTCTTAATAATGTACTTTATGTACCAGAAATTCGTAAGAACTTAGTGTCTGGTTCTTTATTGATTAAACATGGTTTTCGTGTAGTGTTTGAATCTGATAAGGTCATTTTGACCAAAAATGGAGCATTTGTAGGGAAGGGTTATGAATGTAATGGGCTTTTTAAGCTCAATGTGATGACAATTAATAAAAATGTTAATCCTTCTGTTTATATGCTTGAGTCTTCCATTGTGTGGCATGGTAGACTGGGACATGTCAATTATAATACCCTGCGCAGGTTAATAAAATTGAAAAGCATACCTATGTTCCATATTGATTCAAAACATAAGTGTGAAACTTGTGTTGAAGCAAAATTGACACGATTACCATTTCAAACTATTGAAAGAAATAGTGAACCACTTGATTTAATTCACACTGATGTATGTGATTTAAAAGCTGTCACGACACGTGGTGGAAATAAATATTTCATTACTTTTGTAGATGATAGCACTAAATTTTGTTATGTGTATCTTCTCAAAAGTAAAGATGAAGCGATAGAGAAATTTATTCTCTATAAAAATGAAGTTGAAAATCAACTAAATAAAAAGATTAAGGTGATAAGAAGTGACAGAGGAGGTGAATATGAGTCACCTTTTGCTGAATTATGTGCCCAACATGGGATAAGACATGAAATGACAGCACCTTATTCACCGCAACAAAATGGGATTGCGGAAAGAAAAAATCGTACTTTAAAAGAAATGATGAACTCAATGTTGTTAAGTTCTGGACTTTCACAGAACATGTGGGGGGAAGCTGTATTGTCAGCAAATTACCTTTTAAATAAGGTTCCCCGTAAAAAGTTAGACAAAAGTCCATATGAATTATGGCATGGAAGACCACCATCCTACAAATACTTGCGAGTGTGGGGGTGTCTGGCAAAGGTAGCAATACCTACGCCAAAGAAAATAAAGATTGGACCAAAAACGGTTGATTGCATATTTATTGGATATGCACACAACAGTAGTGCTTATCGTTTTCTCGTACATGAATCCAAAATTGAGGAAATTCATAAGAACACGATACTTGAATCTAGAAATGCTTCATTTTTTGAGCATATATTTCCACGTAAGTCTGAAGTGGATTCTAGTTCCACTAAAAGAAATTTGGAAATAATGGAAAAAGATCAAGATGGATATACTGAGGTAGAACCTCGGAAAAGCAAAAGAGGCAGGATAGAAAAATCTTTTGGTCCAGATTTTCTAACCTATATGGTTGAAAGCGAACCACAAACGTTTTCAGAAGCAGTAAATTCTTCTGAAGGACCTCTTTGGAAAGAGGCAATCCAAAGTGAAATTGATTCCATTTTGCAAAATCACACATGGGAGCTAGTGGATCTTCCTCCTGGAAGTAAACCATTGGGCTATAGGTGGATTTTCAAAAGGAAAATGAAACCCGATGGAACAATTGATAAGTATAAGGCTAGACTTGTAATTAAAGGTTATAAGCAAAAAGAAGGCCTTGATTACTTTGATACATATTCTCCAGTAACGAGGATAACATCCATCAGGGTGATTATTGCAATTGCAGCTTTACGAAATCTTGAAATACATCAAATGGATGTAAAAACGGCTTTTCTAAATGGAGATTTAGAAGAAGAAATTTATATGGAGCAACCTGAAGGGTTCTCTGCTCCCGGGCAAGAGAATAAAGTTTGCAAACTGGTTAAGTCTTTGTATGGATTAAAACAAGCTCCGAAACAATGGCATGAAAAATTTGATAATGTCATGGTTCAAAGTGGATTTAAAATTAATGAATGTGATAAATGTATTTATGTTAAAGACACAGAAAAGGGTTATGTAATCCTATGTCTTTACGTAGATGACATGCTTATTGTTGGAAGCAATGATAAAATTATTAAATCCACAAAAGATATGTTAAATTCAAGATTTGACATGAAAGATATGGGTCTAGCTGATGTGATTCTTGGAATTAAAATTCATAGAACATCACAAGGAATTGTTCTGAGTCAGACACATTATGTGGAGAAAATCCTTGAAAAATTTAACAAGGATGATTCGACTCAGGCTAGGACCCCGATAGATATAAGTCAACATCTGTCGAAAAATAAAGGTGAAAGTATTTCTCAAGTCGAATATTCAAGGGTGATAGGGAGTCTGATGTATCTAATGAATTGTACTAGACCAGACATCGCCTTTGCCGTGAGTAAACTAAGTAGATATACAAGTAATCCAGGAGAAGAACACTGGAAAGGAATTGTGAGATTACTCAGATATTTGAGATATACTTGTAAATATGGTTTGCACTATTGTAAATATCCAGCTGTAATTGAAGGCTATAGTGATGCCAACTGGATATCGAATATGAAAGATTCTAAATCCACTAGTGGATATTTATTCACTTTGGGAGGTGCAGCCATATCATGGAAATCTTCTAAGCAGACTGTTATTGCCAGATCCACAATGGAGTCCGAATTTATAGCATTGGACAAAAGTGGAGAAGAGGCGGAATGGCTTCGCCATTTCTTAGAAGATATTCCACGATGGTCAAAGCCGGTGCCAGCAATTTGTATACATTGTGATAGTCAATCGGCTATAGGCAGGGCACAAAGTAATATGTATAATGGTAAGTCTAGACATATCCGTCGAAGACATAATACCATTAGACAACTACTCTCAACTGGTACGATATCTATTGACTATGTGAAGTCAAAAGATAATCTTGCGGATCCGCTAACCAAAGGGTTAAATAGAGAGTTGGTTGCTAAATCTTTGAGAGGAATGGGACTTAAGCCTCTAGAAATGAGTTGATACAATGGAAACCCTACCTTGTTGACTGGAGATCCCAAGATCTTGGTTCAAAGGGACAACCTAATTGTAAAAAGACTCTTGTATTCACTGTGTGATATTATCCATTGTCCATTCCTTAAACAGTGATGCCCGTGGTGAGTAGGATAAGCATTTGGCTTTTAATGATTCGTGCATGGGAAGGTAGTACGGGCTACTTGTAATTAAGAATCACCTATGTGAGAGAGAAGTGGGGCCGCTTCGAAGAGAATTGTGTGAGGCTCAATTCTTAGACCCTCTTACAGAACCAGGCTATGTCCAAGGCCAGTAATGGACATAAAAATGAGAACTGGAATATGTTAGGGAGAATCCTGTGTGAAGTATATTTATCATTTACACAAAAGGCAGAACAGTTCAAAGACATCGAGTCTACTGGTCAGCTAGTAAAGTTAATATGCTTTCACAAGGGAAGGTTCAAAGGGTAATACCTACCTATCCTATGCAGATTTCAACTGTCGGACCATAACATTATTTTTAAATTTCATTCATGTGGGGGATTGTTGGAAAAAATTGTGAATGAAATATGTAACGTAGTGTAGAGTTATTTCTTTAACAAATGTTTTAATTGCTTAACATTTTGATAACAACAATTGTATTGATTTCTTCAAACTCAACTGAAAACTTTAATTGTAAAAATTGAATGAAAGAAAATGAACGTATGTCATTATTCTCTCTTTGAGGTGCATGTATAAATATGTGGCCTTGGGTTGGTTTCAAGAGTGTGTGAAAAAACACAAGAGAAGAAAAACACAATATTGTTAAAGGCCTTTTCCCCTATTTTTAAGTGTTTTGGTCCAGGCATAATTCCAGTTCGCCGAATTTGTTTCGGTTTTTCCGTTGTATCCTGGGAAACAGACGCTCATACGGGGCGAATCTGTTTTAAGGACACTGTGTTCTCACAGGCCTCGGTATTTTTATTTTAGCCATCTTATTTTTATTTTCCTGATAAAGTTCCCTACAGGCTTAGCGCAGCCCTGACCAACATCGAGACGTGCCGGGCGGGCCCACGCGACCTCAACCTGACCCGGTTCTCGTCCCCCGTCCTTTCGGGCCGGCACAACGTGTCGGAGATGATAAGCAACAGCCTCGCAGCCGGTGGGGCCCACTCGGGAGGATTCGGGACGTTCCCCGGGTGGGTGACGAGGAGGGAGCGGAAGCTGATTATGGGTGGGGATGCTGAGCTGGCATTGAGGGAGGGGGTGGTGGTGTCGAAGGATGGGAAGGGGCATTTCGGGACGGTGCAGGAGGGGATAGAGTATGCGGTGGGGAGGAGGAGGATCGGGGAGGAAGGGAGGGTGGTGGTTTACGTGAGGAGAGGGGTGTACGAGGAGAACGTGGTCGTGAACCGGACGATGGCAAACGTGACGTTGGTGGGGGAAGGGGTGAGGTACACGGTGATCACGGGAAATAGGAGCGTGTTGGACGGGTTCACGACCTATAGCTCCGCCACCGTGGGTAAAGCCCTCGTTGATACCTTTATTGGAAACATAAGTTCGTTCTGTGGGCATTAAAATTTGGGGAATCACTATACAGTTTATTATTAGTCTTTAGATACATATATAGATTAGTGCAGGGTAGATAATTCACTGACAGAATCATTTCGTGACGACGGGAGGAGTGCAATCATTTCCATTTATTTGAACTATAAGACACCTCATTAATACCTCGTGTGCTTTGCACAAACAAAAATATTGTCATCATGAAGCAAACGTATATATATATATATACCATGTTTTAGTTACTACACAAACTCACTAAACTTCTCCCAATTCTCAGGAGTGGACGGCCCCGGGTTCATGGCCCGCGGGATCACATTCCGCAACACAGCGGGTCCCAACAAGGGCCAGGCGGTGGCCCTCCGCTCGGCCTCCGACCTCTCGGTCTTCTACGCATGCGCATTCGAGGGCTACCAGGACACCCTCTACGTCCAATCCCAACGCCAGTTTTACAAGTCGTGCCTCATCTACGGTACCATAGACATCATCTTCGGCAATGCAGCCGCCGTCCTCCAGAACTGCGTCATCTACGTCCGCCGACCCCTCCCGGGCCAGGCCAACATGGTGACAGCCCAGGGGCGGGGCGACCCGTTCCAGAACACGGGCATATCCATCCACCGCTGCAGGGTCGTGCCCGACCCGGACCTGAGGCCCGTATTCGGGTCATTTAGGACGTATTTGGGTCGGCCTTGGCAGCAGTACTCGAGGACCGTGGTCATGAAGACCTATCTTGATGAGCTGGTGGCGCCTGAGGGGTGGTCCGCTTGGGGTGACTCCGATTTTGCCCTGGCCAGTTTGTATTATGGGGAGTATCGGAATTTTGGGCCGGGGGCGGACATGGGGGGTCGGGTAAGGTGGCCCGGTTACCGTCGGAATATGAGCGTGGAGGAGGCAGCCCGATTCTCGGTGGCGGGACTTATTGCGGGCCGGGAGTGGCTGCCGGAGACCGGCGTGCCTTTCACTGCTGGGCTGTGAGCTTTGGTATTATTAATACTATTAGTCAATCGTCCGGCCACCGGCTGTGTTATTCTTTTGTTGATTTGTTCATGTATATATTACAGTTTGTATAGTACAATAAGATGATACGGTACTATAACAATTTGTAACTATTTGATACCCCTAGTTTACAGATAAAGTGTTTACCTACAAATTAACTATAGATTATTTATAAAAAATAGTTATATAGTATTAATAAATGGTATATTAATAGATACTCTAGCATTAAGGATGTGCATTTAATTTCTAGAATTTAATAGTCTGAGCTCTTACTAAGTTAGAGATAAGTGTAATTAACTTAACGGTTAAAACACCCTCTTACTAAGTTAGAGATAAGTGTAATTAACTTAACGGTTAAAACACCCGATGGGATAATTCCTTAACGGTTAAAACACCTGATGAGATAATTCCTTAACGGTTAAAACACCGTACCTACCCGATGGGATAATTCCTTAACGGTTAAAACACCTGATGAGATGGATGGGATAATAATTCCTTAACGGTAAAATACCCATCTTCACCTGATGAGATGGATGGGATAATAATTCCTTAACGGTAAAATACCCGATGAGATGAGATAATCCTGATGAGATAATTCCGTACCTACCCGATGGGATAATTCCTTAACGGTTAAAACACCTGATGAGATAATTCCGTAACAAGATGATAGCATTTTCTGTTTAACTTACTCGGTAATCTTATATGGGAGCAATGTAGATGGCCTAATTTATTAACTGTTGAATGGTGTCATTTACAAGCAATGTGGGACTTTTTATTCACAACATTAAATTTGCTATGAAAAATATATCGTTGCTAAATCTAGCTAGCTATTGCACAAAGAAAATTGTAGCAATCTAAAGTTACTAAATTTCGTATATAGTTACTAAAAATTATAGCAAACCTTGGAATTTTTTGTTAGTCAACATCGTTTAAATAAATGAATTGTAATAGAAAAAGGAAAATTTAGAATGACATATGTCCAATTATGTGAAACTGAAATACATACTCAGATACTCTCCTTTTTTTTTTAACTTAAAGTTCAAATAAATAATTAGATGGTGGTTTTCTATTTTTTGATTGGATGCACGTCGTTTTCTCATTTCTTTGCGCGTTTCGCCGCCAATTAAATTTATTTTAATTTATAAAAGTCAAGGCATCCATGTCCACCGGAAAAATTCAAAAATATTCCAGTTGTAACTTCTTGAGTTTCTCCTATGAATAAATTTAATCATCTATTAGCATATAGATATGTTATATGTAGAATATCCCTGTTTTATATATTACTATTGAGGGTAGGTTATAATGATTTGCGTTGGTATTTGTCTGGCCTGGCAAGTTGATTAGAGTACTAATTTGTGCATGCATGTTTCATGCCACCCATAACTAATGCACCTTCAATTAAGCAATTCCATTACGTGTAGAGGCAAAATCATTCCGTCACTTTTTTTTTTTAATAAAAATGAGTACCTATAATATGAAATGTTATTATTTGTTTATATCATGTATTAAAAATTATAATTATCTAACCGATTGATATGTGTAACAATAGCCGTACTGGTTTGATAATGTTTTTGGATCAAATTAACAATAGCCGTACTGGTTTAATATATGAGATGTTAATAATTAATGCAATTTTTATTCACAATAACGGACTTCTAACACGATATTATTTTACATCATACCGATAAGTTTTAGTATAGAAGTTTGGTGGCATGTCAACGAGGCCTAGGAATTAGTATTCCATCTCCTTGAATGGACTGTGAATGTGATTAAATTGCCGTATCCACTTTTACTTGTTTGTCTTGAATTCACGCACTTTGTTAGGTTGATTATTTGTAGTAAAAAAAATGAATCGCTTTCTTCTCGTGTAAAAGTCGAGGAGCATTTTTCTTCAATAGTATATAGAGGTCATAAATTTTTTGGGATTATTTCATCGAGTTAAAGTTGTGACTAGATTTGTAAGGAAAAGTATATAAACGTGACAAAATTTTTGGGGATTATTTTAAAAGGTGTGACTAGATTTGTGAGGAAAGTATGTAAATCATCATGCAAATTACAGTTTTGAATTTTATAACAGAGGAAGACAGTCAAACGTAATGTTATAAAATATTTTTATTTTTTATATATCAAAATATTATATTTTGAAAAACAACATAAGTCAACAGTATGGTGTTTAAAACATAAGTTTTCATTTTTATTTAAAAAAAAAAAATATTTCACAGTGTTTAATTCACCTCTTATAGAAAACATGGTGTATAAAATATAATTTTTTCATTTTAATTTAAAAAATAGTTCACAATGCTTAGTTATCACCTTGTAAGAAAAGGGGAAAAACGAGTGCAGTATCGTACAAATGAAGCGCACCATAGACAGAGAAAGCCCAGATGAAGCCCAAGTGATGTTCCATCCCAAAATCAATTGAGGGAAGGAGAAGTAGTCCATTAGACTTATAAATTAGGTTTATTTTTCCTATATAAACGATGTAGGACAACTCACAAGTAAATATTCTAATACACCTTTTATGGAATGTATATAATAGCAATGTGTAACATAGATAAAAATATATTTTTCTCAACTTTTCATAACATTCAAATCCTATCTCTAAATATCGGGAAGTTAAGACGAACCCATCTCAAATGAAGAGGATTACTCACAAAACCATACTCACCTTTANACTACTCCGTTGGTCAATCTGGATCGCACACCTGACAGTGGTAGATGAGTCTCCCAACAAGGGTTTTCTGCATTCACAAGACTCGAACTCGAGACCTTGCCTAATCGACATCAAACTGCTTACCACTTCAATCTGGGTCGCACACCTGACAGTGGTGGATGAGTCTCCCAACAAGGGTTTTCTGCATTCACAAGACTCGAACTCGAAACCTTGCTTAATCGACATCAAACTGCTTACCACTTGAGCCAACCCTACGTATGTTCATGAGCAATATTCACCACAATAATATCTCCCCAACAATAATAAAATTTACTTTTGCTTTGTTTTTATCCATTTCTGACTTAGGAACATATAACTAAAACATCACATCTAACACATATCATTACACAAACCATGACTTTTTCCAATTAGATCGCTAGCTTGCTAGAATTAACATTTAAAGTAGATATTATTTTTAATCACAACTAATCGGCCATTTCAAAATCCATGTACCCTCCTTGGCTTTGAATTGGCCTTTTGTGTTCAAAGTCAACTCTGTCCTTCTCAACCTCTCCCATAACACAACCTGTCACACCCCCTTTCCTCAATTCTCCATCTCTCTATATATATAACCCCACACTTCCTCATACTAATCAAAATCACATTCATTCAAGCATATATACCAAACAGTACTCTAGCAAATATGGAGCTCAAACTCAAACTCCTAGCCCTCACCCTCCTTTCTCTCTCCTCTCTCTTCCCCTCAGCAAGCCCGAAACCCACACCCAACATCGCCTCATGGTGCGACCAAACCCCATACCCCGACCCATGCAAGTACTTCCTCTCCCACAAGCCCTTCACCCGGCCGCCAGCTCAAAATAAGTCCGACTTCCGCAAGCTGGCCGTCCGGCTGGCGCTCGAGCGCGCTGTCCTCGCTGGCGGCCACGCCAAATCCCTTGGCCCCGAGTGCCGCGACGCGCGTGAGCGTGCCGCGTGGGCCGACTGTGTCCAGCTGTACGACAACGCCGTCGCGCACCTCAACCGGACTGCGGACCCCACCATCCGATGCACGGAGTCCGACTCGCAGACGTGGCTGAGCGCGGCCCTCACCGACCTCGAGACGTGCCGCAACGGGTTTGTCGAGCTCGGCGTCCCGGACCACGTGCTCCCCCTCATATTGTCCAACAACAACGTCTCGAAACTCATATGCAACACGCTGGCTCTCGGGAGCAGCACCAACTCGAGCAGCACGGCAGTCGGCAGCTACGGGTTCCCGGCGTGGGTCCCGCCGGGAGACAGGCGGAGGCTACTGCAGGCGGGGGTGAGGCCGAACGTGGTGGTGGCGCAGGATGGGTCGGGAAACTTCCGGACGATCCGGGAAGCTTTGGATGCGGCGGGAAGGAGGAGCGGGAGCGGCCGGTTTGTGATCCATGTGAGGAGAGGGGTTTATAGGGAGAATTTGGAGATTGGGAATAGTTTGAGGAACATCATGTTGGTTGGCGATGGGATGAGGGATACCGTTGTTACGGGTAGCCGGAGTGTCGGAGGAGGCTCTACCACCTTCCGATCGGCCACCGTTGGTAAGTCGTTTTAACCGCGATTTTGCTTCGATGAGATTTCCAATGTGTGGTTGGATATAAAACATTTAATAAAAAACTAATCAATTTTTTTAATTCAAAATAGAACTTAACTTTAATTTAACTAAATAATAATAATATTATCAATATAACTAAATAATAATAATATTATTATCAATATTATCAATATAACTAAATAATAATAATCAATCATCCCAAATAATAATAATCAATCACCCCAAAACATAACATAATCTTAAATATTATCAATATAACTAAATAATAATAATCAATCACCCCAAAACATAACATAATTTTAATTTAGCAAAATAACATAATTTTAATTCTGTTTTACTAAATGAAAAATATGAAATCAAAATATAAGCCTAATATGAGGATGGCCTGATGTAAATTTTTTGCATACAACGATCATATATACTATTATTTTTAAGCAGGTTGTTACCATTTTGTGAATAATAAATGATGATCATCTTTGAAAAGTTGAATTAAAATTCAAGAACTCAACCAAGAAAGACAGGTTCAAACTAATTAGTAGCTAGCTTCTTCATTTCAACGCGTGATTATTTCAATAATAATCAAATTTACTAGAACTACTTAATTTGTTGGTTTTTCAACTTCTCCTAATAGATATTTGATCAACGTATTACTAATTCCTCATGTATCCTAATTATATCCAGCCGTGACCGGGTCGGGTTTCATCGCCCGCGGCGTCACCTTCCGCAACACGGCCGGCCCGCAGAACCACCAGGCAGTAGCCCTGCGGTCGGGCTCCGACCTCTCAGTCTTCTACCGTTGCGCGTTCGAGGGATACCAAGACACACTCTACGTCCACTCCCAGCGCCAGTTCTACAGAGAGTGCTACGTTTACGGCACAGTCGACTTCATCTTCGGCAATGCAGCCGCCGTCCTCCAAAACTGCATGATCCTTCCCCGCCGCCCTATGAACGGCCAGCAAATCGCCGTCACTGCTCAGGGCAGAACCGACCCCAACCAAAACACCGGCATATCAATCCACAATTCACGGGTCGTGCCCGCTGCCGACCTGGCCCCCGTGGTCGGGTCGGTTCGAGTCTACCTGGGTCGACCCTGGAAGGAGTACTCAAGGACCGTCTTCATGCAGACGTACCTCGGCTCGTTTATTGACCCAGCTGGATGGCTCGAGTGGGATGGGAATTTCGCGCTCAACACGTTGTATTATGGGGAGTATAGGAACACGGGCCCGGGCTCGGGCACAGCCCGTAGGGTGCGGTGGAGGGGTTATCGGGTCATCACGAGCCCCGCGGAGGCAGGGAGGTTTACAGTGGGGAGCTTTATTGCTGGGCGGTCGTGGCTGCCGGCTACTGGCGTGCCATTCACGGCGGGGCTTTGAGTCATAATAAATTTATATTGTGTAATTGCGAATCATTCTTTTGATTATCAATTTATTTAGTTCGTTATTCTTTGCTTATATGTATATGCATCCTGGTCAATAATCAATTCCTTGTAGTTGGTTATATTAGGAATGTTGTTGATTTTTCTTGAGTTTTATGTAATAAAAGTTTATTATTCAAATATATTATCTGTGTCTATTTCTGGCTTAAAACAACAACTCGTTTTCATAAATATGAAAATCAAGAAGGATGTTGATAATTAACTCTCTCTCAGCCGCACCATGAACATATACACTAAACCCCCCTGAGGGACGGACATCTGGGAGAGAAGCCACCCGTTCATTCGCATACATATATACACATATGTCGTAATAAAGTAGCATTTAGAAGACCGAACAACAAAAGAAAACTAACGTTAGATCTTTTTCGGCTTCGTCTGGTAAATGGAGAGGAGGATGTTTGACAACTTGATCGTCCGGTGGTAGAAATTATTGACCTCCGGAATACAGACCTGAAACTCGTCGAGCCCATCGTTGCAGTCGAAGAATGTGTTTCCAGAAAGATATGTCTCCAGGGAGGAAAATGGGTCGTGCTTTACAAATTCAATGCATTTCTCTAAGATATTCACGTATGTCAAAAACAAGTCCCGGCAGCCGGAGGTTATTGACTCCTTCGCCTGAAGATTTAGTGCCAGCGGCAACTTTGACTCAACGCCATCAACCACCAAGGGTTTGGCACTTTTGGCTATTCCAATAACGCCCTTGACCGCATTTGTCATTGCCTCCGGCCAGGTCTTGGCACCATTGACCTGATAGAATATAAGAATTGCACAATAGTGAAGTTATTATTGTCTTTTCTTGTGTATGTCCCTAAATGCAGGGCCGGCCCTGCCCAGGGCAACCTGGGCGACAGCCCAGGGCCCAATCTCAGCAGGGGCACCAGCCCATATATTTATCTTTCTAAATTCTAACATCCGATTTTTAACATCCAATAATATGACATTGGATGGAGAGAGAAACTAAAGCAAATAACAAATATTTATTGTCCACATCATTTACATCACTATTGAATGACTTTTCACATTCTGACCATAAATTACTTTTTCTCTTTCTTATGGCCCCCCCCTNTCTTTTACACTCCACACAAATTTGCACTTTCACACAAATCATAGGAACGTACCAACACTTTTTTATTATTACTATATTCTTTTTATGCCTACTTATTTTATTTATGTGAAAGATAATTTATTTGATGACGACCTTCTATAATTATTTTTCCATTTAATGTTGTTTACTAAAAATACTATAAATAGGATTTAAGATTTATTCAAGGTTTATTTTACGAATATTTAAATAAGTTTACTACTTATTTAGAATTTATTTTGTAATTTTTTAGGGTTGATTTGTTGTTTTGTATGATACACCATTTTATAAGTTATTTTTATCGGATAACTATTTATTTTATAATCCAAACATAGCTATAGTATATACTAAGGTTTCTCATGCACATAAAAAATAATTGATAAATAGTAAATTATAAAAAAATTTAATTGAAGTGCAAATTATCACTAAATAGACTCAACATTATACACTAAAAAAGAAAGTTATTGAGAATAACTATAACCCAAGATAAAAATGTGTTAACAATTCTATGCATAAAAAAGGTATTACTGAAAAAATATTGATTATATAGATATGATGAATTTTTCGTCATAAATGGCCGAATAAGCCTTTCTTAAGTGATTAACCACCCTTAATTTTTTTTATATATAAGTTTTTTCTGAATTTTTCTTGAGTAATTTACATTTTGTGAAAACACTCGTGAAGATGTATCTGTATTGCATCATACTTTGATTATTGTTGCTAGCTTTTAGCATGAAGTTGTATCTTATATTTAGATTATATAAGTTCTATCATTTTTTAGGGAAAAATAATATTGTTATTGGTATTATATACTTTTTAACATTTTTTGTTAGAAAAAGATTAACTAATTAGGGCATTACTTTTGCATTTGGCCCAGGGCCTAGTAATATTTAGGACCGAGCTCTGCCTAAATGTGTTCGGTTCTTCATTATTTTCGTTTTCTTTTGCTTCTAATTATGGGTAGATTGGAAAAAAGAATGTAATACCAATTGTGTGCAGATATGTTTGTCGTCTGGGGCCGTGGTCGCATTCATGCAGAATGGGCTCACGTTCGTGCATCCATGGTCAACTGTGGCAGTGGAGAAGAGGACAAAAGTGGACAATATCAAGAAAATAATAGTGCTGGCCGGTAAACCCATTTTTCTGAATGTTTAATTTTCTAGAGGTTTTTCGACCTTTGAAAGAAAGAGTAATTGTGATTGAGGGTGGCAAAGAGAAGGGTTATCGTGTTGGCAATTATATATGGGAGACCATTTAC